TATTCAAAAGACACAACATATATTATGTGTATGCATATGCATAACACACCTAGAATACATAAGCATTATATTTATATATATTGTTATTTTAAAAGAATATTTGACAGATACCGCAAATACAAGAGTAAATGCTTGTACTCCTTCTTCATCATAAGACACAGTTAGTTAAACTGGACACAGTCACACTTTCATATAAACTATCCAAGCCTTGTTACCACAGAATCCCACAGGATGTAGCCCAGTGTCTTTAATGGAATTATATGGATCTTCTGTTTAAGCACATGACAAATGTTACTGCACTAATGATTCCCCATGAGTTTCCTACTTATGCCTATTCCTAGGTGCTTTATAAAACATATCTCTGTGGGATCACAGTTAAAAAAAACAACATTATTTTGCAATTTACAGCAATGTTCCCTTTCTAATAACCAAAGTACTACAATTACCAAGTTTTCTCTGCAAGTCCTTTAATAATTAGCTGTCCTAATTAAGTCCCATACAAATAAATGTATCAAAAAGAAACAAGAACTGCTGGGAGACTGGCTGGAGTGTTTATAAGTAAAGCAACTTCCACTGTGTGATAGATATACATCTGCTCAATAGAACATGTTTCAAAGCACCTTTAGAGACCTCCTTAATGCTTGCCACTGAGTCAGGGTTGCAATTCTCATGTAATATCCTTTGTTACTTCAGTCCAAACAGTTAATTATGCAGATAAGAAATATCATCAAAGTCAAACAATCACAGAATAAATCACATTACTAAAGGTAAATTACTAAATTATTTTTTTTTTTATCTGATGAAGCCTAAAATTTATTTTAATTATTTTGCAGTTGACACAATTTTATGTTACCACAGTCATTTAAAAAGAATCACAAAACAAAACAAAACAAACATATACAATATTTTATATATTCTATACTATAGAAGAACTCCATAAATGCATTCCAAGGTTCCTATACCAGCAGTGATACAACAGCCATTCTTACGTGGTATGAAAAAAGATTCAGTCCTGTCTTCTCCCAAGAGCAGATGGATAATGCTCATCTCATGAGAAAACAGACCAAATTACCAAATACTTTTCTGTGTGCTTACGCATAGACCAACACAGGAAAGTGGAGGGTAGAATTAATGGCACACATCATCTTGGACAGCCAAAAGCTGTTGCTATTTCTTCAGAATGTTGAAGTACAATTCTTCTTTGTATTTCTTTGGTGCACAAGCAAGCTAAGGCTTGGGAGCTCCTAATTTTCTGGATTCAAAATGAGAAACACATGACCCCAGAAACATATCTCAAGTTGTCTGATGTCACATTCTCAAAGCCACCTCAGGAGACACCTCTTCTGGGTGTTACATACTGAAACAATCTGCCACTATGCTATGTTCTTTGCTATGTCTATGCATTTTATTTAAACTTTGGATTTTAAAGTTTAAAATATGCATAGTGATGCTTAGTCTGAGTACACAGATTAGGGATAGATTGAGCATTCATACAGATGTTTGTTCATAACAGATAACAACAAACAACTGATGTTTCAGTTAGACAGCATACAGTAAATATTATTTAGCACTTTTCATCTCCACTTTTCATCTACAAGAACACATAAACAACAAAAATGCCCAATTTCTTGTCATTAGGCAGCACTACCTGAATAATGCAAATAGGGAAACTGAGGCAAATGGAATCATCTCGAAGCCTTTTGTGTGGAATTCTGATGATTCTCAAAATGCTTAACAGATAATGGCATTAATAAAGACTTTAAATAAATACCATTACGTGTGCTATAAATGTTTCTGGCATCTGTAGGACACTTTAAATTATTGATTAGTGCTACACCGGACAGAGCTGAATCATCAACGCCTGTCCTTGCACGATGACAAGAGGATGTCTTGTAAGCAATTTATTTATACTCTTAATATCTTCAGCAGGAAGTACAGTCTGGTTAGGTTTTGCAATCATTAAATAGGAGTGATTTTATATGCATTGCCCTTCATCTATAGACTTCTTCCTAGAGCAATCTCAGTCTTAAGTGAGTGCAATTACAAATAGGCCAACCTTTTTCAGCCTAAAAGAAGAAAGACAATCTGGAATCTTGCACACTAAAAAAGATTTATTTTGGCCAGAAAGAAGACCAAGGATCCATATTAAAGCTCTGTGTATTCAGTTATCCCTAGTTTATCCTGCTTGGAGGTACCAGAAAACTGGAATCCAAAGGATTGTTTTCTTTTTTAATAAAATGTGCAGGTGGTCTTGGACTTGCCAAGATATAATATTTTTTTAAAGAGATGAACAGATCTGGCTTCCTCTTCAGTATCTCTCTTAATTCCACAACATAATAATCATGATCATCAACCCAGGACATAATATTAAATTAGTTTTTATCCCTGCTGTGCATTTTGAGACTGTTGGAACATATTACCCCCAGTGTATTGTGTGCTCTTAGATCCTATTCCATGTCAGATCTTCAAATATTTACAATGCAAAAAATATTGTCTGTCTCACTCAGCAATGCAACCCACATGTCTTTAACGCAATTCCATATCAGCACTTCAGATCAAAACAAGACTCTAAAAATTATAAAAGACAGAAATACTTTTAGTGGCATACAGCCAAGTACGGTCTAAACACTTTGCTTGTGAGCTCGTCACATGCATGCAATATTTGGAATACAGCTCATAACCTTTGGCTGCACAAATATAGAACTTCAGTCAACAAACTCAAGCAACAGTTTGATTCACTTGAGTAAAATCAGGCGTATCGGCAACTGACCTGATTTAGATGTTGTAAGAAGATGCCCAGCTCCACTGGCCACATGAGAACATGCTGTTCTTTGCAGAGAAAAATCAAGATTCCCAAGTGCCAGGAGAGAGCAAGGCAGTATTTCAGTGGGTTGGAGGTCTGCATGTGGTCTTCCTAAAATTGTGTTACCTTCTCATTACATGGATCACATCCACTAAAGGGCTACAGAGATGTCTGACCTCTGCATGGGTTCATTTTACTACATCCATACATGGCAGGCCTGACTATCATACAGCACACTGAAGGTCCATCAAAAATAATGTACAGTTTCATATAGGTATCTCCCATTTTCGAATGGCCCACTGCCAGCCCACCTGAAACTCAGCAAGTTGTCATTACAAGGTGTCAAAGTCTGATTTAAAGGTACAAAGTTTAATCACAAAGTTAAATATCATATCTAGGAAAAGAGCAATTCTCATGATAGCCCCAAGAAGTTACTTCACTACAATAAGTTTTCCTCTTTGGAGTAGAACACCCATCACACTGCCAATAACCTGAAAACTTTATTCATGTTGTGGGTTACAGATTTCTCCATTGACTCTACAGAGAAGATCAGAGTAAGCCACATTTTAAGTTTTAAGTAAATCGCTGCAGTTTTCCATCAGAAAGCTTGTTTGGAGTTTGACTTAGAAGGAAGATTGCTTCATTTAGTTCAGAGACAGTTTCAGCTCTTCTGAGACATTTAAGATGGCAGGCTAACAAGTCATGAATCTTGATAAAATACACAACAGTTTTAAATGATGAAACAGAAATAACGGATGTAGGCTTTTATTGCAAACACATACATTTTGTATTAGATTAAATTTGATTTCCAAACCAAAGTAACTGCAATTTTGTCTTGTTTCCAGATTTGCTATCTCAATTCCAGAGAAAAAGTCTCTTCACCTTTCCTATGCCTCCATGCACTGACAAGGGAAGGTATACAAAAGATTACTAAGTTCAATATGACTCTAAAGCTGAATCAAAAACATCTCACTAGATCAACTGTATACCCATTACAGGAACTGTATACACACTGAAAAATAAACACTGGCAAATGCAGAGTACAATCTTGGAAATGTCTCAAGTGAGTGGGTTTTTAAAAAGGGTTCATAAAAGATATAAATTCTGGCAACTGTAAAACATTAACTTGAAGACCGAGTGTAACTCTGTTACTCTTCAGGAGAACATCTTGCATTTCCCTCTGCAAGGTATGGGGCAACAGGCAAGATCAGGTCCTCTCACATGAAGCTGGTACACAAAAGGGTCACCAGACCAGAGGCTCACCCCCCGTCCCCAATCCAAAGCCTTGGTTTTCTTTAGCCTTCATCATGAGCAAGTGTTTTCAAAAGGTAAACTCCAGTTGTGTTACTTCTGTGCAGCCTCTACAGTCATCCACCACGAGGCCACGGCTTGGCAGCACCTTCGCTGTCCAGGCTGAGGCCATCCTCCACCAGCAGCCTGCAGCAGGCAACGTGCCATTGTTTGAAGACTGAGACCACTGCTCCTACCACACAGGCAGTGTCTCCAAGTCCCCTTTCACCCTTCTTGGTGTTCACCACCAGTGGACATCCCACCTCTGCCAACTGCGTGGCTGGCACAAGGAAGGGAACCCATCCTCACTGGGCACTGCCTGACAGACCCCAGAAAGCAGCCAGCCATGGTCCAAGACCCTGCAGCCTCAGCTGCCTTCGGCCAAGCTCAAAGCAGGCCACCAGCAGACAGCTCTTCGGCCGGGCCCCATGGGAGGAGCCCAAAGTACTGGCTAAGCTCCTGCTGAGCTCCCCTCAGGCAATGGCAGTCTCCCACCCTGCGGCTCGTTGGGGCACATGGGGAACACAACGTTCCTCAGAGGGACACGGGGCCCCTCAGAGTGTGGGGAACACAGGAGACTCCCCCTCTGCCCTGACGAGCTGGGACCCTCGTAGACCCGTGCACCCTGCGCCGTGTGGAGGGGACGCGGTGGTCGCCGCCGGCTCCCTGCAAATCTCCTCGGAGTTGCCCGAGAAGTTTGGGAGAGCCCGGAGGAGCCGTTATTGGGCAGAGCCGCAGCCTCCCTCCCGCCCCCTGGCCGCACGCTCCCGGGACGAGCCCCGCAAGAACCCCGGGGACGGGACACCCCGACCCACGACCGACCCCCGGGGGAAGGGAGCGGCAGCCCTCGGGACGCCGCCTGCGAACCGAGCCCTTCGGGGAATAAAGAAGGCAGAAGGACGCTTACCATCTCGCCTGATGTTGGAGGACCGCAAGGCTTTTATAGATCCGCTCTGGGCAGGGGCGGTGGTGCCCTGACGGCTGCAAAAGTTCGCACAGACGACGGCGTAGAGGAGGAGGAGGATGAGCAGTTGCATTGGGATCCGCTGGGCACGGGACCGCGGCTCTGCAAAGAAACCTGGCGCTTGCCTCTCGCAATTTATCTGTCCCCCACCCCCTGCACTTTTTGGTTGTTGCTGTCGCGGGTTGCTGGAGGTCCAAAAATAAAATAAAATAAAATAAAATGAAATAAAAAATTAAAACGGAGCCCGAAATCGCAGCCGGAGCTCCCGAGTTACTCTCCCAGCTGCTCCTAAAACTTCCTGCGCTCTCAACTTTTTTTTCTGCTGCTTTTCTGGGGCCGTCCCGAGGCAGCAAGGTGAGGTAGAGATCCCTCGGCGGGGACCCGCCGCCCCCTCCCGGGCCGCAGGCGGGGGCTGCCGCAGCCGCGCTCCCCTGCGGCCGGAGCCTCGCAGCGCCCCTGCTCGGCTCGGCTCCGCTCGGCTCGGCTCGGCCCGGCCCGGCTGCAGCCGCCGCTGGGGTCGGGGGCGGCCCGGGGGTGTGGGGAAGGCGGCCCGGGGGTTGGGAGGGAAGGGAGGCGGGCGGGAGCCGTGCCCGGGCCCTCCCCGCGCTCCCGGCCCGGGGAGAAGGGGTGAGGGGAGGGATGGTGAGAGGGGGCCGGCCCCCTCCGGGGCGCCCCCCGTTCCCCTCCTCGGGTTGGGCAAGGGTGGCTCGAAGTACCCCAGCTGCTGCAGGAAGCTCGGGGGCGCAGCCAGCGAGGACACGAAGAGAAACCGCACGTGGCCCTGGGAGAGAAATGCATGGGCTCTCCTCCCATGCCAAGCACCACCACCGTAAATGTCCAAAGCATTTCATAAATGGTTAATTCCTGCTAATTAATTCCCCTCGTTAAATTGGGTCTGCTATTAAAAGCTTGCATTAGCGCCTGGAAGAGTTAAGGTCTGAGCAAAAGGTATGTGAGCAGATTGTGATCAGATTGCTTTTTTAATACTCTTTTCCTTTCCATTAGCTACAATGAAAATAATCAAGCGAAGTGAAGGCAGAGAAAAAACAGTCAGGTTTTAACTGTTCTCTAATAAATCCTTACCTACTCACTTTGTTTCTTAAGGCATTACATACAGTCCCAGGCAGCTAGCAACTTGTAGCACGGTGCCAGACCTTAAAACATCAAACACCACCTTAGTAATAGGCAAAGTGTGTCGATAGAGTGCTGTGTCAGGACTATGGGATGAGTCCTGCTACACACAGAGGACTGCCTCTGGCTGTATGAAACATTTTCTCCAAAAGCATGCTAAAATGACAATGGAACTGAAACATCTTGTGTGTCTTAAGGAGCCAGTAGGGTGCAGTTCTGTTAATGCATAACTCAGGCTTCTTTATCCTTTTTGTGTTCCCCAAAGCTGACAGTGAACCTAATCCAGCTCCTGTGTGGAAGATAAAGGAAAGGCCCCAGTAGTTCTTCATCTATGAGCAGATGCGCCTATACTGTAGGTGCCCACTTCAAGGGGGAACCGGACAGGCAGAGAGGCAAGGTGGCGAATCCAATCATCCTAACAGAAGCATAAAGTTAAGTAAAGGAGATACAGAAAATGAAGATAGGGGGAGCTCTGAAGATGTCTTCTGTTCATCCAGTCCACGTCTGTCTCTTTCCAATTACGATATAAGGAACTAGCAGAAAACCTCAGAAAGATTTCAGCAACCAAACTATCTCCTGAGGGCGGGCACCCCAGAGGAAAACTGTGGCTGCCTTTTCAGATAAAAGGGAGTGACCAATGCCCTGGTCAAAACACCTCAGTGAAGTCTTTCTCAGTGCCCTGAGGCCCTCCTTCTTGCTTAGGTTGTTACAGCCTGTGGTTGCTTCCCCCTGGGGGTGTGCAGCGGCCCTTAAGAGATGGTGGAGGAGGAAGAGGAAGAAGGATAGATCACGTTGCACCCAGAAGGCAAAAAAGGTGTTCTGACAGTATCTGAGCAGTTATAAAGCTCAGTCAATAAAGGATGCTGTTTCCAAGGCTATTCCTCTTTCTGTACCCCTCTTTATCCACATTTATAAAATTTGCATTTTATAAAACTCATATGTCTTCCCAAGAACTGTCTCTGGAGCTGGAGTCATCTGCTCTCTTTCTGGCCCCATGTCCTCCTGGCTGTGCAGGTCCAGCTTCAACACAAGAGTGAAACAAGCTTTCACCTAAAAAATACTCTGCAGCTGTTTGGCTGATGTGCTCCCTGGCTTGATGCAGACTATAAGTTTAAATTTCCTCCAGCTGACCAGGGCTCAGATCTGAAGCTTCCTACAGCTATGTCTATTTTTTATTTTAAGCTACGTCTATTATTTATTTATTTATTATATATATTTTTTTAATATTAGATACTTCTGTGGTGCCTAAGATGAAATTCCTGTTTCTGCAGCAGAGGTACTGCTAAGTGTACTTGTTGCTTAGAGAACTCTCAAGCAAAACAGTGTGGGGCCTCATAAATTAGACAGCGATGAAAACAGGCAAGTGGATTCCAGCACCAGTGGCTTTGACATATCTCAAGAGGAACTGTGTATGACTCCTATCGTACATTCATGGTACACTTCTGTTCCTCCCTTTGCAAAGCATGGTATGCTTCTGTCTTTGCTCTAAATCTGAAAGTAATTTTGCAGAAGCATTGAGTTTTTTCTCAGGTCAGAAAACAGCCAAGGAATATTACTGTGGGGTTCCAAACAGAGGCATTTTTTTTTTTTTTTCATTCAATATACAGGTGTAAAACAAGATTGTGGGACAGAGTAGCAAGGCTGACATGCACTGGTAGACCTTTGTAAAAAAGCCTGTACTACAATGACTGTTTCTAGAGCTTCTCAATTCACCTTAAAGAGCACAAAAGCACTACAAAAAAAAAAAAAAAAAAAAAAAAAAAAAAAAAAAAAAAAAAAAAAAAACTTTATAAAGAAGCATCAGAGAACTCCATGTCAAAGGATGAGAAGTTTGGATTGTACTTGGACAGTTTTAAGAGCAGGTCACTGGATCTTCACTTTCTGGGGAATATTCTAATGCATTAGCTAAACTCTAGGGGGTTGGGATAATTTAAAGCATTCTATAAAGATTTCTATATGAAGACCAGCAGTAACTAATGGTCACTGCAAAAAAGAACATATGGATGTGTAAGTGTGTTGACCTAGATAATTACAAATCTGTCATCCTAACTGAGATCCTGGCAAAATAGTGTAACAGTCGATATGAGGTTTAATTAATACAAATTAATAGGGAAATAAGATAATTAATGGTAATCAACTTATATCTTATCAAGCTAACTTGGAAATCTGGTTGACAAACAGAATAACATCAAATTACAGCCTTTATAAGGCATTTGACATAGTACCACACAATATAAATCATATGAAATGAAAGTCATGCTTACTAAATGTTTTGAAAATTCATTAAACGACAGATTAAAAAATGTTAATAAAAAAGGAAACACTATTAAATGGATTATTTGCAAGAGGGTCCCACTTAGTATAATTTGTGGTTCTGAATTGATTTGTATTTTCAACAATGACCTGGGAAAAATGCAATCATTACTCATGACATTTGCAAATGACAAAATTCTTGAGGGAGAAAAAATTTGATTTATACCAATGGTGTTATATGGAAATAGATGTGTAGATACAGGGTAGAACTGCAAAGCCGAGCAAGCACTGGCATAACTTATGTTTTAAAATAGCCAATAGTAGGGCTATCCAGTTCCCATGGCATCTATCTGACCTCATTTAAGTCTTCTACAAGTGCCTGGTGTAGGCCAGTCACATAAGATCCATAGGGAGAAGCAGGTGCCATCAGAGAGCAGTTTAGCCCATCAGTTTTAGGCAGCTGTGCTGTGCTGGGATGAATTGTTTTCTGGTAGTTACGGTTTCTCTCCACTGACTACAGAGACAGCATAGGGAATAAATACATTTATAGCTACTGGATAAAGTATTTAACCCTGGAAACCACTGATGCAGGAATGATTATGGGGATGGATTATCAAGGAAGTCAATGGGCTGAAGCCCTCACTGTTATTACTTGCTGGCTGGCAGATGCTCCTGTATCACACAGTTTGTTCATGGAGCACAGATGTGCTGTATGCACATCTTAAAGCATTGGCATTATGGTGAATAAGTAGCAAAATCCAAGATCTTTGTGCAATAGCACTAGGATCTTTGGATATTTATTTAACTAGGAAATACCAGTTAGAGTAAGGGCATTATGCTTTCTTCCATTTCTATTAGACTGCTGCATCAAGTTCCTGTGAATACAGTCTGAAAAAGGACCATGACAAACAGTAGGAAAAAAAAAAAAAAAAAAAAAGGGAAAAGAAAGTCACATGGTCAGTTAGGGGGTGAAAAACATACCATTCAGGGAAAAGTCTAAAGATCATGAACCATTTAGCTGGTCAATGAGAAAATCAGAGGGCTCACAGCCTGAAGGTGCCTCCATGGAGGTAGGCTATTGATTCCAGGAGGCTATTGTGTCTAGTGAAAAATGACTTATCATGACAAAAGTTGGAGCTAGACTTTTAAATTAAGATTAGAAATAAAAGGCATACTTTTCAGTGTGGCAAGCCATGGAAGTTTCAAAGTTGTTTTATATTCTTCTTCACTGAAAATTTGAAAATCAAGATTTAATGTTTTCCTAAACCTAGACATGCAGTTTCAAGATGTAGTTAGGAACTCACAGGGTCTATCGATCAATTCTAAAAAGTCTGTAAAAATAACAGGGAAAAGCATGTTAATATGTACCATATTGCAAACCAGGGATGATATTTGTAGTTGGTTCTGCTGTTATTGGAAAATGACAACTAAAACTATTTACCTCCAAGGATGAATACAGGGCAGCGCTGTGACGTCTGTTAGAGGAGGGCAACAAGTGATGGCAGTGATCCCATCCCCTTGTTTATAATTTGTGAATGACTTGAGAAAGAGCAGAGGTGTGTAGAGTAGGATGGAGAAAAACAAACAAAAAAACAACAACAACAACAAAAAAACACAATTGCCGAAAGCAAGTCTGAGCAAATGAATGTAAATATGCCGGCAGACCAAAAGTGTGCAAGAGAAAAGTGGACTAACCCACTATATGGGTAGAAATAGCAAATAGTTCAAAGTGATGTGTTGATAAGACAATCACAATAGCCCACCTGGTGGAGCAGGACACCCAGAGGAGGGCAGCACAGCGAAGAGTGGCCCAGGTTTCCTATCTGAGCTATAGGCAGCAGTTCAGCAGCATACAGAGAAAACCTGCTATGAAACTGAACACCTTAGGTGTGGAGATTATCAAACGCCAGCCCAAGCAGAGCTGACTAGTACCACCAGCTACACACTAGGAATTTAGCATTGATTAATGGCAGCTCATTAAAACACTCCGGACATTAGCGCTGGGCCACAGACCTGCAACTGGTGCTGCTGTTTGTCCTCCTCCAGCAGCCAGCTGTGGCTCACTTGTCTCTCTCATTTTTCATAACAGCTGCTTGCAGCTTTAATTTAAGCTTTATTTCACTTTTCCCTCTTGTGCCTGCACTGCTGCAGGGTTCTGTAC